CAAGGTACAAAGACTTGCCTGCCTCGGAATAACGTGGGCAATGAAAACAACCCCCACTGCTGCAATGGAAGCACTAATAGGACTCCCACCTCTTCACTATGTGATACAAGGGGAGGCAAGATTAGGTGCTTACAGATTAGGGAATACACTGGGAAATCTTGACATTAGGCCAGGGCACATGAGTATCTCAAGGTTAGTGACAGGAGACGTGGTAGACATGAGATCAGACCACATAACCAAGAGGTACTCTTTTAATACTCCATTTGAGGTTTTAATACAGGAACAAACCTGGTATACAGATGGGTCTAAGACTGCGGAAGGCACTGGGGTGGGAGTATTCTCCAAAAACCCTGATACTAACCATAGCTATGCTATAGGAATACATTCCTCGGTATTTCAGGCCGAGGTATACGCAATTTTGCAATGTGCAAAAGCGAACAATGAAAGAGCTGTCGAAAATCAGCATATTCAAATAATATCAGACAGCCAAGCGGTACTTAAGGCCATATCGAGTCAGCAAGTTACGTTGAGGCTGGTATGTGAATGCATCGAAGAACTAAGAACACTGGCAGACCGAAATAGAGGAAAACTATTTTGGGTGCCAGGTCACCAAGTAATCAAAGGCAACGAAAAGGCTGACGAATTTGCAAAAAGAGGGTCAGAAGAAACACCGGAACCAGACACAAACCCAGGAGTACCAAAAAGTACAGTCCGGGGTTTCATAAAGGACTGGATTCGTGAACAACATATCAACTATTGGGGAAGCACACCAAAACAGGCACATGGAAAAGCCTTCATAGGCAGACAATGTCCCAAAAGAAATGGAGAACTACTCTTTATGAATAGGAACCAGTTGAAAGTGATAACAGGGTTTATGACTGGGCACGCCCCAGTAAAGGGACACTTGAACAAAATTGGCATGTACAATGGGGAACTCATGTGCCGACTACGTCACAAGAAACCAGAAACGGCCAAACACATACTGTGCGAATGCGAAGCTCTAGATCGCAAAAGACAGGCTCTTTTTGGACAACCCCAGGTTGATCCAACAACGTATAGAATCCACTCACCCAAGGATCTGTACAAACTTGTACAAGGTACAAAGGTGACAGAGTGGGTGCTATGAACTAACATGGGGTAAAACACAATAAGCCAATAGGCTTCAGTGTTATTCGGAGACATAGTCAGACGAGCCCAGGAGAAAAACAAAGACCTGGCGAGCTTCTGTTAAATCTTCCAATGGTCCACTCTGGACTTATTCTCAGCTAAGAACTGACAGTAGGATCTGTTCTCGTTCTGTAAATACTATTTAATAATTATAATTAAATTAAAATAAATGAGGTTATCCATAAAATTTATTTTACATATATTTTAGAATGTCTAAAATAAGAGATATTTTAATTTTTTTGGCAGTTCTGCAACTCTACAGAACTTATGCACCAGCCGACACTGCTTTGAATATGAAAAAAAAGGAAGAGAGGTAAATAAAATCATGCTTTTTATAAAAGAAGAAGCGAGCAGGGGATGGGCGGTTACAGCAGGTTTTTTTTAAATTAAATTATTTAACGTCAGCCTATTTATAACTACGACGCTTGTGAGCACGCTAGCTCCAATTACCAGAAATTTAGCTAAATCCCTGGTGTTCCAACCAGAGGTAGGGATATTTAACGGACGGCATTATTTCTCCTCCGAAAAGATGGCGCACCATACGCTATACATCGTACTCAATGGATGTAACGCCTGCACGTTGTGATATGCAAGTAAGCGAGAAGTTTGTTCGGACGTACGCCGACTTTCATTGAAATGGTCACCCATCCAATTAACATCGCTGGACCTGTCTTGACTGCAGGTATCGATACACAATCAGTGAACATGCTAAGCCGGACCGCTGCTCGTTCCAGCAGGCCGAAAAGAATTGGTCCCGATACCAAGTTATAGCAGATATTTGATATAATATTTTAGATGTTTAATATTTTTTTTAAATTTTAACCTCAATTGTACTATACGTAATTAAATAATTACATAATGATCCCTGATGCACGTCTATGAGAGGACGTAAAAAAGCAAGATTCTTGAGCGTTATATTCTAAAATGGTGGCAGGTATCATTGGTAAAATTGTATTTCTTACTTCATCCATACGTATGCACGTACGTGTGCGTATGCGACTTCGGTTCAACGAGAAGGTAATAAGACAATTAACCATTTAGGGTAACCGGTCGTGGCACACATTTTATTCATCACTTTGTTACAAACTATGACTATTTTTGCTTGTTCGTTTCAGTCCCACGCTTTAAACATATTTTATTTCGACAAATACGGGAAAAAATAAAAATCCTCTGTAGCTGACATTTTTAATAGACCGGTTTCGAAGTTTGTATTACTTCTTCTTCAGGTACACTATAACCTCTCCATTATTAGATCATCTACTTTGGTATAAGTAAATACAACGGTGCAAGGCTAGGGTTGCCATCCGTCCCGATATATCCGGGACTGTCACCGTTATTGACCTTTATGTCCCGATTAGATTGCAGAAAGTGCCGTTTCTAAAGAACAACGAGCATTTAGATCAAAAATATAAACTCCTTAAAATGTGTGAATAATTATTCTCAATTATTCTCTCAAGACGAGAGGAACCGATTGATGCCAGAAACTATTGAGGCCTTTTTGCAATGCCAATATAACTTTAAACTGGCATGCGCGAAATTTTATAAATATGTACATTAAAACTCGAAAAGAAGTTTTAGAACAAGCAAAATCTTCTGAAAAATATTGTTCAAAGTCGAGCTTAAATACTTCTTAATTATCGGTATGTCATATTATTTGTATATTATATGTGTATGTATTTTCATGAATTAAACGGTTTTTTTACAAATTTGGATTTTTCACAAAAAATATTTTTAAGTTTAGATACCAAAACCAAATTCTAACTCTTTTATAAATAATCTCCTGCTATTGAGAAGGGTTCGACCTTTCTCTAATAACCAATTAACTGAAAGTGTGAATTACCTACGGAAAATAAAATGACCGCCGTCAACCGTTGACCGCCCACGGTCACCACTAGCCGTTAATCCGACTAATTGAATTTAAACGTCGACCCATTGATCACGACACATACTTTATGACCTAATCATTTAATTTTATAATCGTTTGCGAGACCAGAAGCCTCACGAATTAACAAACATTTAATTCGTCGGACTTTAATTCGCTTAATTTATCGAAATTAGGCGCCAGGATTTCCAGATTTTGATCCAATCGATTTTTTTTAAAAGCCGATGCGTTAACCAGATTTAGGCCTGCCAAACCCAGTAATTCGATCAGAATCGTTTTAAATTATAATCAAGGAAAAAGTTCAATAATGAACAAACGATCTAATACGATTTTAAATCAATTTTTAATAAGTCGGCAATTCGAAACAGATGGCGCTTTCGCCAGATTTTAATTCGCTTAATTTATCGTTTTCCGGATTTTGGTCCAATCGATTTTTTTAATAACCAATGAGTCAAGCAGATTTAAACCTACCATGCCCAGTAATCCAATCTGAATCGTTTCAAATTATAATCGAGGCGAAAGTTCACAAATTAATGGAAAATAAAAGAACAATCTAATACGAAACGATTATCAGGTTTTAGTCCAATTCATTTTTATGTTGCCTGCATTGTTAGCCAGATTTTAGTCCACTTTTTAATAACTATTTAAATAGCCGACGCCTCAACCAGATTTAAGCCTACCATACCTAGTAATTCGATCAGAATCGTTTCAAATTATAATAGAGAAGAAAATTTAAAAAAAAATCTAATGTAAAATAGCCGACGCGATTACCAGATTTTAGTTCAATAGATTTTATGTTACCGGCATTACAGCCAGATATTAGTTTACTTTTAAATAACTCGCTGATTTGAAACAGCTGGCACGTTCATTAGATTTTAATTCGTTTATTTTTTAAAAAATTACCAGAAATTTGTTCTGATATTTTTTTTAACCCCGCCTGGCACGTGAACAATATTTTAGACACTTGATTTATTTCTTTCAGTAATCTAATATTTAGATCCAGTTTCTATTGATACTTCTAAAGAATAATAATATTGTTTATTCGGGTTAATAGATTACAATGGTTAAAGATAATGAAAACATTTGTTTTGAATAAACTTGAAAAACACTTTGAAGTAGCAAATGCTACTTATAAAGTGAATATTAAAATATAATTAAGATAAAAAATAAAAAAAAATGACGACATAAATACTAATGGTAATTAAAATTATAAATAAAATAAAACCAAGTAATCAAAATAGTCTAATATAACTAGAAGATGTCAATAATTGGGAATATTTTGGCCAATTTCGGTAAAAGGTCCCAATCGGGTTAAAATGTTTAAAAAAATAATTGGATTTAAAATAGGATTTAATTTATTATTTACTAGATCTAGATGAGGCTATCTTAAACAATAAAAATCACAAATTGACAAGGGAAATTCAAAATTTCCAGGAAGGATCAACACTTATACCTACAGAGCCTCCCCAGATGAAGAGACAGATTAATCTCTCTGGAAAACCACCATAAAGAGTTAAAACCTATCAGCTTCATCCCTGCCTTCAGAAGAGATAACGGAGTATGAAGCAGGAAAAATAAACAAAAAGCAGATTTGTTTGCTGAACATTTTTACACCCAACAGATGTAGGAAGAAAATAGTTTTCCTATAATAGACAATCAAAAATCCGAAAACATCACTTAATCCGAAGAAAGTATCAGGCTTCAACTTAATTACTGGATAGGACTATTTATCTCTTTACCAATTGTGTTAAAATTATTCTAAATTACTGCTAAACAGCAACCCCTTGAAGAATGAAGACATTAATTTAAAATAAGCAGATTATGGTTGACTAGATTTTTAAAACTGCCAGCAAGGTAACATTTATATCGATTCAAATAATTACAACTGCCACCACGATAGGGGTTTAATGCCACTTTCTAAAATTATAGAGATACGGAACTGTCGACTTACCAGCTCTGAAGATTTCGTGGCAGCCATCGCACCTGGAGGCAAACTGTTGATCGTAACAGTTACCGCAGTAGATCCTGTCACCTTTGGATCCAAATTGCTTGTCTACCAAGGATTCCCCGCAGGTGGTGCATAGGAAGCATGCTTCGTGCCAATGCTTGTCTTTGTAAGATAAATCCTGCAACAAAAAGAAAACGAATGAAAATTCAAGGAAATATTTAATTTCGTGTTATACTCGTATGTCAAAAATCTTAATTTGTGAAAAATAATTGTATGTAACTCACCTTGGAATCTATACCGATGATTCTGCTGCATTTCTCGCAAGCATTGGCGAAGACGGACTCGTAGCAGGAGACGCAGTAAGGATGTTCGTCCCTGAGGACGTACCGTTGTCCTGTAAGGCTCTCGTCGCACTGCCAGCAGCAGAAGTGTTGGCCGTGCCAGTCCTTGTTCATGGCCTTTGTGTATTCTCCACTGAAAATCAACTATAACAAAAGAAAACATTTTAGTTTTATTTTTTTAAAGATTTGTCATTGGTAAGTTTGACAAGATTTGTCAACAATAATAACTGTGACTGGAATTGTCAAAGTTAATTAAAGAAAGGTTCCAGGAGAATAAAACTTTTTTTTACTTTTGTAGATTGTATGTAGCTCAACGTTGGTTCTCGTTATAAAAAAAGGTTTTTTTTATATATTTTTTTAAGTTTATATATGTACTATACATGTATGTATAAAATTATGTCTGTACATTATGTATATAAAAAATATATATAAATTTATTAGTTTTTATTTATCTACAAACATTGGGATTTGCGACCCCAAGTTCTGTCAAAAGTCAAAATAAATTGTCATTAAATGCGCATGTCTCTCTCTATTATTATATGCTTTATCCAACTCTTATAACTTTGTACTCTAATTCACAATAGACTATTATAGATAAAATTATTAAAACAAAGTTACGATTAAAGAAACCATCTTGCCAACGGCTACAATTTTACCCGACTTTTGGGTATTCTAACTTGGATTGGAATCCAGTAACGTTCTCAATCTAGCTGGATTTTTGCTGGACCAATATTATTTATTGTAATTTATTGATCTTTCGGATCGGTGGCGTAGGTGTCTAAGGCGCTCGCATTCATTTGCGAGCAATTTTGTGGTTGAGAAACACCTGGCTTCGAATCCTATGGAATACCATGATAATTTATTTGCATGGTTCTCTATAGGATTTTATGGATGTCGTATTAGCAGAAATTTAATGTCTGTTGATATGACATCCAGATTATAAAAATCGCCATGAGTTACCGTTTCGATGATGGTAAGTCAAGTAGCACCATCAATCTGATTTAAGTCGCTCCGGAGCGCCACGGCAAATAATATTAGCCGTCCCTTCCTTCCCCTACACAAGTCGCTCAGTCGGCTTCAGGTGTTGAAATATACTAGTAAGGGGGTGAATTAAGGAGAGTGTTATTAATATTATTTAAAAAAAATTAAACTTTTTTTTTATTACCTATGAAACTTTTATTACTTCGATTAGTCACTACAAATCAGTAAAACTTCTAACACATTTAGATAATAAAATAACTTTGGTTCGGTTTATCAATTGAGATAATTAACTTTAAATGTTTAGTTAATATTAACACGTTTGGCGCCAGTGTATCTTTTGTGGTTAATATTGTGTATCTGAAAAGATCCACGAACTAAATTTTAGTTATGGCGATGTGTATTGCTAACTTTATGTACATTTTATATGGACAATTATTATAAGCTCTGACCTCCTAGTATTTCTTTTTGGTGTAGGTTGTATGAAGATTTTCTGTGATATTTTTATATTAACGTAATTACCTATTATATAAAAAATTATTTAGAAGAAACAAGTAATAGAAAATGGAAATAAACGATAGAACATAGTTGAGAAATTGTTGTAACTAGTGTGTAGCATTGAAACATTTATCACAAATTTAAATATCTCAAACGGAACATTTGGTTATAACCTAAGAAGCTTTCACTACTTTACCGCCGACGTCCTCTCAGTATTTTTCATATTTCTTATAGCATTCTGCGCACCGTCCACGCACTTTCTTTCCATTCTTTCTTTTAATTTTTTGTTAAGTAATATTTCACGCCGCAAAGCTGATCCATTTGTCTCAGAAATGCATTTCGCTTTTATTATGGGTTCATTTCTTCGGCTATTACTGGGAGGTCATATTTTAGTCGAAACAGGCGCGGATCTCGGAAGATTTTTAAGGTGCAATTACAATTTAATAAATTTCAGGATTTCTTCGAGCAACTCAGAGGGGGGCGGCCAATTACCCTATTACCCCCTTTGTATCTGTCGAAAGCATTCTGACATTTTATTTGCATAACAGACATTTCACGCCTCTTCAAGTTGGCATTTATAACATTATTCGTTAGATATTTTCGATTTGCTATAAACGTACCCACTAGATGAGTATTTCTGTGCCTCAAACGATAGGCGAGTGGTCCACTAGTATAACAATGATGTGTGTATATAGTTCTTTCTTCGTTTAATAGACTCTCTGCCAATGACATGACGATTTTTCAGGAACCTGATGTGCAGGTTTACAGCAATAAACCATCATATTCCAAGTAAACTCTTTGCCTGTACAGAGTTTGTAAACCTTGACGCCATATTTGTTTGGGATGTACTGCCGGAATATCAGTCTTCCGCGCCAAGGTATCAAATACTCATCCACGCAGATTTTGTTACTTTATAAAGTCTGTCACTGGTATCATCAGTAGAATTATCGGAAAAGTATATATTATTATATTTCAATATGAGCTCGAATCGGTTTCTGGGCATTACTATTAGAGCTAAAAGGAGGCTGTAAAGTTTATGCGTCCGCCAATAATCTTTTATTGCTGGTAACTTTACTAAGCCCATCCAACCAACAAGAGCCATAGACCTAGCAAAGCGTTAACGTAGGCAAAGTACACTTTTAAATTACTTGAGGATCCACATGCCGAAAAATGTGCTGGATCCAGCTGGATTGCTGGGTGATGGATCCGGCAATTGTAATTCCTAATTCTAACCTAACTTAAGAACTGTCATAAACGTTTATAGTTTTCTTTTTGGTTTTTGGAAATCAGCGCAGTAACTTAAAAATAAACTCGCCAATTTTTTAAAACACGTGCTTCATCCAAACTGTTTATTTCAAATGCAAAATAAAAATACGCCAGTTGGAGCATAACTACTATGGCAAGTGGACTATATGCAGATTGTTTTTAGCACAAATAAGCGTTTCAATAAATAATTTTAAAAACAAGGTAATAAATTAAGTTCTTTTGTTCTCTGAATACTTGGTACTTACTACCAGGCATCCCGATCGCTATACGCAAGCTGCTATATTTTTTCCTGGCTTATTTTTTCGGCTTAACACGAATATAACCTTAGTTTTAAGCTATTTCAAATATAAAAGTCAACGGAGTCGATTTAATTGACGTTTTTTAGAGACTACTTGAAAATGGTGCGCAATAACAAAAAAAGGTCGTGCGGTAGCAGATCATATCGTGCCTACAGATAGTCAGGAAGATTTGAATACTGCTGTATCAAGATATGAAAGGAGCAAATTAGTGTAACTTAACGGAGAAGTTAGTAACTAAAATTATTTCCCCGTACATTTTTAAGAGGATCAGGAAAAATACATCCGCCGGTTGAAGACATCAGCCTGGTTAAAAAAAAAAAATAAATGGAAGCCAACTATTACGGAAACCTTAAGAAGAGGCTAAATAAGATTTAAGGAAGTCTAGAAATTAAGGCTTTCTATATTTATTCACTCACACTAATTTTGATCTAACTTTAAGTTGGCCTTTGATCTCAGTTTGTTTTTTTTTAAGGTTTATGATTATTTGGTCTTGAATATTCCATTTTATTTATTAAACTGCGTTATGTTGAGTAAAATAATAAATATTTTTAAATTTTCTCGATATTATTGAAAGTCTGAGCAAAAATATATTTTTTTAATTTCATGCTCTCAAGTAGCCTCTAAAAAGGGGTATACAAGCAAAACAATGCTTTTAAAGCGTTTTCAAGAAACCCCAACATGAGGCTTATTTTTTAAATGGTACGAAGGGTTAGATTTTTCTAATATGTCACAAGCTTCCCCAGATCAAATTGTCGAATCCAGAAATTTTATCTAAAAAAAACCTTTGGGTTACATAATCAAAATACAAATATTTTTGTATTTCATTTAGCAATAAATTTGCATTGGGACATTTTTCTTATTTTTAACGTCAAACTTCACGGTCAAATCAACAATAAAACGAATAATTTCAAAAACTAAAGTAAAATTAAGTTGATAGATACATGAACCGTGTAAAATAAATGAGTATTTTTAGAAATATAACCGAAACGCTAGCCAAAATTTTCAATTTAATTCAATTATGTCGGTATATTTTCTATGCAAAACATTGTGCGATGGAATGTTTACTAAAAATCAGTTTAATGTTTATCATTAATTCTATTAACAATTACGTAAGAGACGTTTGTGTAATCCGTTCAAATTAAATCGTCAGACTTAAAGTATGCAGAATTCAAATAGTTTTTCTCAGATTCAGAATTAGGGCATAAACCTTAATGTTGCATATATGTTACATTTCTATGATAGTTCACTACTGCTTACACTTCTCAATACAAAATAATTCTTTTATTTAAACAGAAGTTATTTCTATTTAGCCATAAAACTAATAGCTGTTTAATATATTTCAGTAAAAAGTGCATTATTATCTGATTATGCCTTATATCAATTCTTATCTCGCATATTATCCAGGAAGAAATTATCTAAATTATGTAGTGTAGATTGATTTGATAGGTGAACCATATCTGCTACATTGCGCATTCAGGTTTTTATTACTGTTGCATATCTGCTACAATGCGAATTCGATCTACATATATACAGGGTGTGATTGTTTACATGAAAACTGAAATCACAAAAACGTTCAAAAAAATTATTATAGTCATAGTTCATTAAACATATTAACATAGTATTAAATAAAAAATACAAAAATAAATTATGCGTATTGACAACAGGTCATCCTGAACAATTTGTGTTCATTGGCGTGATTATATAATTTTCCTGAAGGGGAGGCAGGCCATTTGGCTTCGAAATTCAAAGTAGTTAAGAAATACTTTTGTTGCATGTACCTATTTTCTGGGTGAGGGGGGTAAGCCAATCCTGTCTCCTTAGTTACGCCATTGTCTTGAATTAAAAAATCATAGATAATTCTTGGTTTTTATTTAAATTTGTTGAGATTTTGACACGCATTGTATAAGTTTTTTTTTTTTCAGATTTGATGCCAACTATCACACACCAAAGTTAATTAAAGCTTGACTATACTATTACGTATAGTAAACTTTTGTAAGCAACACTTCCCTATTATTGCCAGCTAAATCAGCGTTTAATTTAGTGTAAAACTAGTGTGCCATAAAATTAAATCAAAATCTTATGTGTTACAATGCAAAAAAAAAA